AGATCGAGTTTTCATGAGAAAAAGCCAACTAAACCGGGAAAAATCATCAATAAAAACAACGAAATAACGAGGTTCCCCCATAGTAGTAGTAGGGGATGGGCCCCAAATATTCAAATGTATAAGATCAAAAGGTGCATGGGAAACAGAAATACTTTTATTGAATGGTAAAGCAGGTTGTTTTGCAAGTTGACAGGGTATACAATCGAAAGTATCTGGAATTACATGACCCAATTGACCACTAGAAACCAAAGACTTTAAGCGACTAACAGAAATATGCCCTAAGCGACAATGCCAAAGATGGAAAGGAGATCATGAGGAAGCAGAAGCAGGAGCAGCGATATGAGGGGAGTCAGGAACATGAAGGTGAATGAGTTCATAGAGACGTCCGTGCTTACGGCCGATCCCAATAGTTTGCCCCGTCTGAGGGTCTTGCACCAAACAATCAGTAGTAGAAAATGTGACAGTTAGACCAAGTTCACATAATTGACCAATAGAAATAAGGTTTAAGGTGAGAGCAAGGATATGATAAACTTGAGGTAAAGATAAAGAAGATGTGGAAACAGTACCAACATGACGGATAGACATGAGAGAACCCTCAGCAGTATGAATTGAGGGAATATGAGTAGATGAAGAGATGGAAGAAAATATAGTAGAACTGGAAGTCATATGATTACAACAGGCAGAGTCAAAATACTAAGATGAGTTACTTGGGATCACAGACAAAGCAGTAGGAGGAGGTGTACCAGAGGTGGAGAGAAGCTGTTTGAACATGGCCTCTACGCCAGTTTGAGAAAAAAGAGGGGTAGATGGAGTAGGTGACTCAGAGAAACCCTTAGAGGCAGCAGCAACAGTGCGATGAGACTGATTCCCGGAACGATGAGAGCTCCCTCGGGAAGAACCACCGCGAGAGGAGTTGCTAGTGGAGGATGATCGGGATGGATTGCGAAAACAACCTTGCTGTAGATGACCAGGACCAAGTTTGTTGTAGTATCGGCAGGATCTGACAGGGCAATGGACCAGGAGATGAGTTGAAGGAAGGCCCCGATTCTGACAATAGAAGCAGGCAATGATCCACTGGGTTGATGATGGCCGTGATTGAGGAGTGGCAAGAACAGAGTCCACATGATGAGTTTGGAGAGTACCAAGACGAGTCTCCTCAAATAGCGGATTAGAAATAGCTTGTTCAAGAGTGGGTAACAGAAGGCGATGAAGAAGAGAGGCACACACGGGCTCAAAAGAGGGAGTGAGAGCCATGAGAAAGTGAACCAACCGCTGTTGATTACAATAGGTAGTAAATAAAGCAGCATCTTCTTGGTGAGGCCATGCCGGTTCTGAGAGAGCAAGCTGGTCCCAAACAGAATATATTTGAGAAAGAAAGTCATTAATAGACTGACTGGATTCTTGGCGCATGCGGTGAAGTTGGCTCTGAAGTTGATATTGATGGGCAAGACCAGTAGTCTGGTATCGTTCTTTCAAAAAATCCCATATGTCTTTTGCAGGAGTGGTTACAGAGTCAAGCTGAAAATGACCAAACTGAAGACTGATAGAGGGAACAGAGATATTTTGAAACCAGGTAATGATTTGGTAGTTCTTACTGTCCCATTCCTCAAGTCGGTCTTCATATGTAGCAGTAGCAGTAGCAGTAGCAGCAGTTTCATTGGTGTCTTTCACCGGTTGGGTCACATCCCCGGTGATAATGTGCCAGAGTTTCTTTCCTTTGAGGAAGGAAGACATGGCTTGGGCCCATAGAACATAGTTGGAACCATTAAGAATAACAAAAATTGGATGGGAGGCATCATGACGATCCATAATAATAGTTGAGTAGGGCTAAATAAATAGGAGTAGACCTGGAGGAGCAAAATTAGGTAAAACAGAGTGTACCAGTGAGTCCAGAAGGTTGAAAATAACTAAGAAAGGTATGCTATGCAGAGATGACGTCAGCAGAGGCTAAAATGATGTCAGCAACGCACAATAGCAGGTTGCAGTGAGGAGCACGATAGCAGGAAGGGCGTGCGGTGCACCGTAGCAGACTGGCGCATGCTCGATGCACAGGAGCAGATTGGTGCACGCGGGTGCACAATAGCGGAACGGTTTACGTGAGGTGCACAGCAGTAGGCGCGGCGCACGAAAGAGCAGGGCTGACGTCAGACGCTGACGTGAGCAGGTAACCAAGGGTGCGTGTGCGAGTGGCGACCGAAGCTGAGACGCGCCGAACACAAAGGTGGCGCGTGGAGGCACGTGACGGCGTTTCTGGTGACGGGCGTGGTGCCGTTGGAATCGTGAGGTGATTCCGAGCTGTTTGGTGTAGTGCCACTGTGTATGGGATTAAGCACCAAAAATGAAAAATGCCAGAAGTGTATAACTGGGCTCTAATACCATGTAAGATGAATTGATAGAGAGAGAGGGAATAAATTGAGTGTATTGAATATGTTGAATGTGTATATTCAGTCTATTACACAAAGGGAAGCTCACTATCTTTTATAGAGAGGATAGTACATAGGATGCCAAAGGGGCACCGAAAGCAGAAAGCAGAAACAATAATAATGGTTTGCTTTACTTTACATAAATGTATGACAGCTATTTACATTAACATATTTACACTAACAAGAATATTAAAGAATTCTTCTGCCCTACAAAACAAAGGCTTCTGTTCAACTCCGATCTCACTGATGGTCAAATAATCTGCTATTGTAGCATTATTGTCGAAAGCAATGGAATGTAGGACTCAAAAGGTCTTTATCATATCACGCGTCATGTCAAAAACTTGACCTTCTTCCCATCCCCAGCCATATATCTAACAAATCTAAACAAATATAGCCAATATTTTTTGATGCCTTTCCAGTTTCCATAATCAACCCTATAAGATCCTTTTGTCTCTCATGAACCCCAACCTTTCCCCTGAAAGCCATAATTGCTTAGCTCTACCTTTATCTATAACATATCTCTGTTTCCTAAGAAAACTTGAGTGAAGGGCTTAAAGTTTCGAACACCCAAACCATCTCTACCTCATAAGAGAACACACTATATTAACAATATGATATTTGAACTCATCACTTAAACCTCCCTACAAATAAATAAATAAATGCAATTCAATTCCTCAAGTTTCTCTGCCACAGAAGCGGAGATAGTGAGATGAAACTAGTGGAGACTAGAAAAGGTGCTCGTTTTAAGAGCAAGCCTGCCTACTTTTGAGACATTGCCTTTTCCAAGCAGCCAGTCTTCTTAAAAACACTCCACAACAGCATCCTAAATTGAGGTAGCATAAAAGCAACAACCAATAGGAAGCCCCAAATAGACACAAGGGAATGATCCCAAAGAAACTAAATGTGGCCAATTGATGTTAAAAGGATGTTTGGTCATTAAGGCATCTAAAAGGAGCTGAAATTTGTGGAACAAAGTTGAGGGAATTAATATATGTTTTTGTTATTCCTTCTTACCTTGTGGACAAACTCCTCCAAAAATATGGCTAATTTGGCCATTTCACCTTTAAGGATGGCAATGTTTTGATTCAATGAATGATGAGTAATCTTCTGCCATTTTCCTCTAAATAAATTGTAGGATTAAGTGCTTACTATCTCACCAAAACTCATAGGTAGTGGTGAAGATGTAATTTTATTTCTTTAAAGGGTACAACACCAAGTGCCACAAGTTGACTGTGACTCGTGGAGGTCTGGCCCCTACCCAGGCCAACATAAATTAGTGGCTCAATAGACCTCGTTTGGCAACTTTCAATTTTAACCAAAAAGTGAAAAAGTCACTATAAATTATCACATCACTCTTTCTACTTTTCTACCCATATTTTCGTAAAAAGCTAAAAAGTTACTAAAATAGCATGTTCCCAAATTTTGATCTAAAATCTCACTACAAAACTTTGCTATTTGAATGAATATTTATGAGAAACATCAAGAATGCAACAGCATAAAGAACACAATTCTGGGTGATTTTTCTATGGGCATTGCTTCATCAAGAGATATGTAGTATCCATTATTAACCATCACAAATTATGGGTCATTTGGGAATGCCTTTTCTAGTGTTTTTTTTTTTTTTTGAGTTTTTTACGAAAAGAAGTGTAAAAAAGTGGAGAGAATATAACGAGGCCTAATATGAAGATAATACTACACAGAGAAAAGCAAATAAAACTCTACAGTTTAGAAAAAGCTGCTCAAGCATTACTATCTTTTATAATCTCGGACATAGATGAGCCAAACACTATTGAAATGCACACTTGTCTAATATTAATTTTGATATTATTTTTGGGTTATATAATACAAAATATTAGTCTTAATTATCTTCTCTTCTGCTTGCAAGTGTATCTGCAAATACAAAACTATTATTGTATAGTCGTAATAAGCTGGCCTGGTATCTAAAAGGAACAGCTGGGAATGGAGTTCTATTATTATTCGTAGTGATTACTCCTCAGCTATGAAGACATTTCAAAACAAGTGCAGTATCCGTGTCAGACACACGGCCACTTCGGGGACACGCGGCCACTTCGGGGACACGTATGGGACACACCACATGGCGTGTTCCCTTATTTAATTAATTTATTTTCAGAGAACACACCGATGACACACTAGGGACATGCCAAGTTGTATTTTCTCTCATTTTATTTAGTGCTTTTGATGAATGTTGAATGTTTATTATTATTATTTTTTAGATTTAAATACTTAATAGATCATCCATAAAAAAAAGATATAAACTGTAAGGATTGCAGACCTTATATTTTCTAAACTTTCATTGGCTTTGGTCTTCCCTTCTATTTTACAGAAACGTTCCTTATATTTTGTCATCCTAATTTTCTAAACTGTTCATTGGCTTTGGTCCTCCCTTTTGTTTTACGGACCTTATGTTTTGTTGTCGAAGGTAATCTACCTAATTTTTGTGTTGAAAGGATTGCAAACAGTTTCATTTTCCGCTTGAATTTCTCTCGATAACTTAATTTTTTATGATTGCTGCAAAAGTAGTAGGGACATAAACTATCTTGCCATTGTTTGATGTAGATGCTGGAGAATACTGAAGATGGAGACGGCAGCAAAGCCGTGAGTGAATGCATACCACCCCTGCATCTGGAAATGCCATTATTCTGCTTCTAAAATTCTCTTGATGTTTGCTTAATCCAATGTAAAGCCATTCAGCTCGCATTCATGTGTTTGGACATGTTATTTATGCAAGCAAGGTGTGTTCATGTTTTATGATGGGATATACCAAAGACGTTATTTGGTTCCAGTTAGTCGTTCTGCTTCTGATTCTATTGTGGAATTAATTGTCCATGTTCATCCTTGTTATTGAAGCTGAATCACCATTTCTGTTTCTGAGCTGGTGACATATAGCAGTCTTTTCTTCTTTTTTTTTAGGTATGCATTGATGATACATATAATTCGCTCCAGTAGCAGCTGCACTTGGCAGTGTCATCTTAGAATCCAGACCATATCCTGTGGATATACCGACTGTGGCTTTTGCTTAGCTATTTGCCCCATTGGGACTAGGTTGGCATATCAATCAATGTTGGACGCAGTGCAGTTTAGGTCATTCATCGTTGCGTTGAAACAATTGGTGCATAGTTTAGCTGTATAGGAGTCCAAGTACCTCTCTTGGCTTGATGTTGTGCCCGCTGCTTGGTTGCTTAAGCAAATTCAAGAGTTAAAAGGCTTGTGCTTCTAGGTGGTACGGGATTTTCTGACTATTTCCAGAATTGTGTTCCTGTCCCCAATTCACTCTCAATCACATGATCATGCTTTGAGATTCCACATCATGCGGTTAAGAATGCGTATTTGGAAATAGCAAAATCTATGGCCCTTGTAGGTTAGTGAAATCATTTGTTATGTGGAGAGTGAAAATAGTGAATTTGGCTTTTGCTCAAGGCAGTTTGTCAGTATGATTTTACTACGAGTAAAGATATTGATGGGAAAATGTTGTAAAACATGCAGTTCACTTATGGAAAATGTAATAATGCATGCAGTTAACTCTCTCTGCAGGCATGTTCTTCCCAAAAGTGAAAGATTGATGTTGCTTAGACCAATGATTGGGCTACGAAAGTATGGTGAACTAACCATGTCCGACCATGTAGGTCGGTGTTAGGATTAGAGCATTAAATTGACAATTTTATTACTTATGTATAACTGTATATAAGGTTCAAGTTAGCTACTAATGAAGCATCTTAAAGGTAACCAATTCTTCTTTGAAGCATCTTCTAGGTTATGTAAATCTAATGAAGTGTCAGGTTTGTGATTTGGAAGTTGACCTAATTGTGGAAGAAATTATGTAAAATGAAAATCTTTGAAGGAGTGTTTCGTAAAGGTTTTGGGTTGTCATATTGAAAACTCATTTAAATAATGGATTACACCTGTAGGGATACTAGGAGTGGATGTAGACACAATATATATATATATAATTTGAAATTATAAAATAAGACTAATAATACTAAAAATATCATTTTATAAGATTTCTATTAGTTTCATTTTGAAATCATGTCAATTTTCAAATATCGCTATTGCTTTGAATTTACTCTTCATTGAGTTTCTTATATTCTGGATCATTATGCCTCGCGAGATTATTATTTTTCATGTTTAATATTGAGGTAAATGATTCACAAAAAATATTGTTGCCTGGAATGTAGAGGCCTAAATGACCCATCTAGGCAAAGACATGTGAAATCTTTTGTTGAGAAGGAAAATATTAAGAGTTTAGGCCTTCTCGAAAGTAAAGTCATGGCTGATTATGAAGGGAGAATTTTTTATCATACGTTTAGAAGCTGAAATATTTGCTCTAACTATAATATTGCTGCTTTGGGTAGCTTGTGGGTTTGCTGGGACCCTGGGTTTTGTAATGTTGTGGTCTTGGACCAATCTGATCAGTTTATTTTGTGTAAGGTCTATAATTTTGATAAGAACTCCTAATTTTCGTTACTTTTGTTTATGCTGAGAATAAAAACACTCCGAGGAAGCCCCTTTGGCTCAACATTCATGAGAAATCTCACAGCCTTTAAAATATGCCTTGGATTCTCTTGGGAGATTTTAATAGTGAGATTTCCATATGAAAAGGTATGTGGGGGTTGTCAGATGGATCCCAAGTAAGGAGGGGACCTGAATGAGTGCATTTTGAATTCTGAACTTGATGACCTTAATTATGGCAGTTGCCAATTTACTTGGGTTGGCCTAACAAACATGGAGTGGTAACTATATCACTTCTAAGCTTGATAGGGTCATTGTCAATAAGGTCTGGATGTCTACTTTCCCATCTTCTAAGGCCATTTTCTGTACTGCTGGTAATTCTAATCACTCTTTTATTGTCATTTCCATCTCTTCTGGGGAAACTCTAGGAAGCCTTTTAAATGTTTTGTCTGTTGAGCTGACCCCAAAGAATTTCTCCCCATTAATAAAATATGGTGCCAATATGTGAACGGATCTCCTATGTTCAGAATTTGCTATAAACTGAGAGCTCTTAAGCCTATCCTCAAAGTTCTCAGTATGAAAGAGTTTAGTGATATTTCTCTTCGAGTTTACTGTGTCAAAGTTGAGTTGGACTCTGCTTAGCTCAATCTGGATAAGAATCCTCTTAATATTAATTTCCAATTAGTTGAGAGGAAAACATGTTATAAATATGCTGCCCTTTGTAAAGCTGAGGAGTTCATCTATTGGAAATCTAGAATCCAGTACCTTAAATTGAGCAACATGTTCTTTTCTGGGGTAGAAGCTAGAATGAGGGAAGACCTCTTGGCTATTATGGTTTTCAAAGAGGGTCATCTCCTTGTTAGATACTTGGGTGTTCCCCTCATTTCTACTAAAAGCTTAAATATTCTGATTGTACTCACTGTTAGAATCACTAAAAAAATCAAGCTTTAGACTAATAAGTCTCTCTCTTATGCTGGGAGGCCTCAACTTATTAAGTCTATTCTTTTTTCTATATAAGTGTATTGGTCCTTCCTTTTCATTTTGTCCAAGAAAGTAATAAGGGAAGTGAAGGCCACTCTAGGGGCATCCCTATGGTCTGGGGCTGCTTTGAAAAAGACTCTGGCCAAAGTGGCCTGGATCCACATTTGTATCTGTTTATCTCTTAGAAAAACCAAGGGGCGAACACGTAGGCTATGTTTACTTGGATTCAGTGCGGGTGTGCTAGGACTTGTGGGCCTAACCCAAGGTTAGAAATGTTTGGATATTTCTGACTTCTAACACAGACAAATGACTATGTGTGGCTCAGAGGAACCGTCACTGGTTCGGATCTTGCCCTAATGAAGAGGACTTTTACTAAATTTGCTAGGTGCAAAAATAACTAAAATAGAATTGAATTTTCATTGATTGAAAGATGAAGTATAATTGACTAATCTAAAGATAAATTGGATAAACAACTAATTGCATGTAATTGAATTGCATTAATGAAAGATAAAGCTGTAAGAAACTAAGATAAAAGCTATGAAAGCTAAGACAAATGTGTAGATGAACTCTTGGTTGAGTATTTGGTGCTAGATCACTTCAAATGTTGGCTTTGGTGTGCCTTTATAGTGTTGGGGATGCCCCCATTTCTGCTCAACAGCGTGACAACCCTTCCTTGTGACATTTGTTTCATGATCCTTGGCTTGATCCTCAAGTATAGCAACCACTAAAGCACTAAAGGCTAGTGTCCCTCCTTTGTAGCTTTGAATTAGTCCACCAAGCTCCCCAAGCTACCACGTGTATTATCCACAAGAAGCCTAAAACCCATTATGCATTACTTGGGGAAAACGGTTCCTTCTTTATAGCTTAGTTGTTGATTTGCCAAACCCATCAAATCCCACATATGTTATCCTTATGCAACAACCTCTAAACCATTTAGCAAAAATCAAGGGGTAAGACATCATTTAAGGAGATAGGCCTCAACCAACTCCACTCTTTAGGAAACGGTTGAGGCCACTCAAATATCCACCAATCTTAATTAATTAATCAATTAACCAAATTGACTTAGTCAACTTAATTAATTAAAATAAAACTCAAGCCTTTAGCCGCCATTTTGCCTTGATGGGTCGCCCAAAATCATCAATCTTTTGATCTTTCATCGCCACATGACATTAAATTTGAACGAGGAATTATCACGTGGCAATTTTGTCAAAAAGGGTACAAACAGTATCCCTAGAAATGAAGGTGGCCTTGGCTTCAAGTCCATGGAAATTTGGAACAAGGCTGTTGTTACTAAGCATGTTTGGTTTTTGGTTTCTGGAGGTGAATAATCCATGTGGTGTTAGTGGGTTGTGTCTTATTTACTCAAGGACAAAAGCTTTCGGCATGTTAAGATCCCTAATGACCCCTCTTGGGTCTGGAGAAAGCTCTTAGGCCTTAGGAATGATGTATTCCCTCTATGTTATTGGGAATGGTGAATCCACTTTTTTATGGCCCAATTACTGGCACCCTCTTGGGTCCTTATTCTTAAAGTTCGTTGAGAGGGCTTTTATGATTCTAGTTTGCTTTATCTCTAGTAATTCATGAAGTGGCCCTTAGCACAGACCTGGGAATGGATGGAAATAAAGAACATTATTCTTTCAATGAGCCCTTTCCGTTCATGTTACTTGGATCCCAACTCCTAATGGCATCTTCTCCATTAATAGGGGTGGGCGCGGATCGGTTGCGGCCACGGAACCTCCAATCCGCCATCCGTCCGCCAGATTGGCGGATTGAAGAAAATCAATCCGCATCCGTTCGCCAATCCGGCGGATGTGGATTGAGCGGATTGGCGGTTTGGCGGATGGATGCGAATCGGTTTGGCGGTTTAAAATTTTAGAAATTTTCAACATAATTCAACTTGTGTACTTCCTAAAAAAAAAAAAAAGAAAGTATTACAGTCAATGACTTAAAAAAGTATTACAATCACTGTATGCCTTATCCAAAGAAAGAAAGTTTGAAACCTTAGAATATCATGATCACTGCATGCCTCATCCACATATTACAATCACAACATGATTCATCCCCATAAAGTATTACAATTTGTGATTCTTAAAATATAATAACAATTCAAACCACCAAAACCATTAACAGAGCAGTAGTAGAGATTGAATGTCTCTGTATTGTTACATCTACATATGTTTTTAAAAACAAAAACCAACCAGCATATATCATATTTTCTATTTATTATTTTTAGAGTTAGATTTAAAAACTAAAAAATATAGATGAATAATGCGTTTATTTTTTTCAATTCAAAAAATATATTCAAGTTGAAAACTTTTTTTCAACAGAATATTTAAATTCTTTTTTAATTAAAAACACAAACATAATATTTAAACAAATTGAAAATACAAAGTCTTATAAAGTACTAGGGGTGCTCGCGATTTGGCGGTTTGGCGGTTCGGTTGCGGCCAAAAAATCTCAAATCCGCCATCCGTCCGCCAAATTGGCGGATTGGAGAAAATCAATCCGCAACCGTCCGCTCGTCATCACGCATCCGTCCACATTGCGGCGGATCGGTTCGGTTCGGTCGGTTTTAGCGGATCGGTATATCCGCTGCTCACCCCTATCCATTAACTTTGCATGGAACCTTTGGAGAAGTAGGAGGGCTATTGTTAATGGATCTAGACTTGTTTGGTTCCCTTATCAAATTCCTAGGGTTAGCTTCATTGTCTGGCTTGCCATTCATGAGGCTCACTCAATACTGGGGATAGATTAGCTAGGTTTGGCATTAAAGATGTTGCCATGTGTTTGTGGTGGTGGGAGAGACCATGACCATCTTTTCTCCAGTTGTTCTTATTCTAAGAAGGCGTCGGATTCTCTCAAAAGAAAATGTAATGTGTCCTGGTCCCATGAACTTTGGCTGCCCTTGTACATACCATGTCTGCTCAGATTAAAGGTAAGTCTCTAGGGGCTACTGTGAAATACCTGGTGTTCAAATGTTCTGTCTACGGCATTTGGATGGAACGGAATAATAGAATATTCCAATCCATGTTTGGTTCGTGTTCTGGTTATTTTTGCAGGTGTACATTGTTCCATTGGGAAAGGGTTCTTGATGCTTGAGGTAAGCTGTCAACTCTTAGGCATATCCTAAGCTGTCAGTAAAGACCATCAGTTTGGATTTCCCATGGCAAGTATACCCATCAGCTACATTGAAATAGACTTGCACAAAAAATAAATATATAATAATAATATGACTGCGTGAGCAAATGAAATCAGTATGCACACAATTCACCCAACCCAACACACAATTCACTGTTCATTTGCTAAATTATTGGAAACCAAGAATGAGAGTCATCATCAAATGCACACTTGCATCATAATAAGACCTGACAAAAGCTTAGATGGACAGCCCACTTACACCTAATGCTCTTTTCAGATCACTAAGATTGATGGTAGTTGAAAAAAAATCTCATTGACATTTCCTTGCTATTAATTCGTAAATGCCTGTCTAATCACAGCAAAAATAAAACTTTTATACATTTGATGTGCAAAATAGCTTATCTCCGGTCTTAATCAGCTTTTCAAACACCAATCTTTTACATAAATATCGAAGAGGAGGACCAACAACAGCATTTCTTCAATCTAACCGATTAAATTGATCAATACCTGTCTTTGTAAGGTGTTCCATACACTATCAGGTAAGGTACAGTCCGGACAACGGTGTCGATAGGAATTGCAAAGTTAACACCAGAGGACATTCCTGTCCCTGAAATAAAAGAGCAAATAATTAAAAACATTTAAAATTCTGAACTAAGCCTTCAAATATTTCATTATCATTTCTGATGGTGAAACAAAGTTTGAACAGTACTTTTATTTTATTTTATTGATCAGCAGTCTGAACAGTACTTGTTTTAAGGAAATCATGCTAATAATGGTATAATCTTGAGACAGTGGCAAAGGTGACAATCATGAGATGGCCCGAACAAATTTTTTTTCTTTTTCTTTTTCTGTGCAGTTCTAACCTTACTAGAGACTAAAAATTTGGAAACAACGTCCACAAATACATAAAATGTATTTATTATTCATGAATACAAATTTTGGACATCTAGTCAAATGATTAATGATGAAAAAGTTTGCAAACTAAGCACTTTAAAATGAATTTTATCAAGAAATAATCTTGACATGAAAGAAGCCATTTTTTCATGAAGAATGATTCCATGAATGTAGCAGAACATGGATAAGTGCAACGCATGGTGAAGCTGACCAAAAAGGCGGAAAATCTCAAAATACTATAACTAAGCACATATAACTCCTTCCTCTATTGAAATACAAAGCTCCATATTTACTCAATTAACATTCACAGTGTTGCAAAAGGGCCATCTTTCCAGAATGATTAACTGCATAAGCAAGCCAAGGCAGACCAACTATCAAAAATTATTTCACGGCAAGGCCTTTATTTTTACTATATATTGCTGCAAAACTATTGTTAAAGAAAAAACTAATGACAAAACATTTTCTCACCTCTGCGAGTAAAAGTTGCCGTATTAACTCCAATAACGTGACCATATGAATCAATTAAAGGCCCACCTGAATTTCCTGTTCTTCAAAACCAAATAATTGAGAGCATCTAAATAATTACTTTTGAAGGATGACTAAGGAACTAAACTCATAACTCAAATAGCAACGTACATTCTCCTAAAAAGACATCAAAATCACTGCAATTGTTAGTGAACAACACCTATTGGGTCTTGTAAATCCTAATAAGTACTGTACACTGAGCCTGGGTCCAATGGGGGGTTTGGGGGCCTCCCTCAAGGAATGGGGATTTAGGGGAGTCTCCTTAGAATTTTTGGGTACTTTGCTAATTTTTTGTTGCTTCCGCATTGCCTTGATTTCTATACTTATAAATAGATGAGAGGCGCCTCTTGTTTTTTTTGTAGAGAGTTGAAATGCTTTTGTAATCATAGTGAAAACTGTAGTAGCTAGCCCTGTTCTGGGGTGAATAATGTAAATCTTTATGTTCTTGTGTGTGCGATTTCTTTGATTCATTTTAACTTTCTTGTTTCCTAACAACACTTTAGATGTCGTTTGGTAACATTTACAATTTATTGTTTTTTGTTTACAAAAAAATAAACAAATGTGTCAGTATATTTAAAGACAACTTGGTATAGAGAGCAAAGAAATGCCATTCGGAGCCAGTGGCAGCCCCAAAATTCTTGTTTCATGGTAGACATTTATTATTGTTTGGAAGAAGCACTTGGAATCAATTTTTTCATCTTTACTAGTTTTTTCAATTGTTCTTCGATTAAAAAAAAAAAAAAAAAAAAAAAAAATTAAAGATGACAAAAACTTATTTAATTGATAAAGTAGTTTTTTAAGTTACTTTTCCCAGTTTTTAGTAGACATTTTTCAATTTCCTAAAATTTTTAAAATTTTTAGGAGCTTTTTGTCCAAAAATTACTAATAGTTAAAAAATTAAGAAAAAATCTTTAAAATTATTGAAGACAAAAAATAGGTTAAAAGAAGTTGCTTGAGATATATTGATACCATTGGCAAACATAAAAAAGATATTTAAAATTTAGTGGAGTGGGTTTAGATTTACAACGAAAGTGTTCAATTATTATTTCTTTAATATTTTATTAGGTTTTTTTTTTTTTTTGGGGGGAAAGCAAAGCATTTTTTTCTAAGAGTGAAATAACAATCCAATTAGCCAAGTATTTCAACAACAAAAAAAAAATTTAGAATGACAAATGACAATCCATATAGCCCAAAGTTGCAAATGACAAATCAAACAAAAATACAATACATATATAGTACGCAAAAAATTTGAGGGTATTCAAAGTGAATTCGTGTAAATGTAGTGCCACCCCTGTAGAGTTTTGAGGATTTTCCCTTTCAAAGTCTCAACATGCAGGAGTTAAGACCTTCAAGCTATTGAGAAGGCCAGACAACAGACACCAAACTATAATAAGCCTTTTGGTGAGTAAATTAGGCTTTAAAGGAATATCTGGCAGGTCCTACATTTGTAGCAAAATAGACATCACATTTGATAGGCCTCTGCCTAGGAAGCATAGATACGGATACGGATACAGATATGACACAATACGCATATAGTAATATGACAAAATCTAAAAAAATAGGATACGAATACGGCTAGTATACGTTTCCAAGAAAAATATATTTGAAAATATTATATTAGTAGTCAGTTACACATGAACTCAAAAATGTTGAGAAACCATACTGTAATTTTATAATGCAAAATACTAATTTTTAAGAATTAGGTGTTAATTAAGTTGGTAGCTAATATCTAGTTTACTGCTTTTACTTTTAATAGGTCTTACAAATATTTCATTTCAATATCAAGTCTAATATGTTTATATTACAATAATAGAATAACTATATTTACTTTAATTTTACTTTCTAATTCTTACTTTCTATGTAGTTATAAGAAATAAGTCAATTTGACAAATTATATTACTTTAATTCACTAAGTTCTTTTTATCAAAGAACTAAACAAAGTATTGAAAAAATATTCTTGTTTTTATCCTTACAATTATATTATATTATAATGTTATGCAAGAAATGTTATAATTCTAATTTTGTAAAGATAATACGTGATTTGGAGTATCCGATATTTCAAAATTAAGTATCCAATACTTCAATATTAATGAAAAATTAGCTAAGAAGTAGCTGATACTTTTAGTAAAAATCTGATATGTATCTGCGAGTATTCAAGGAATATCGGTATCCGATACGAATATGATACGGATACAATGCCCTTTTAGAAGTATCCGTGCTTCATAGGCCTTCGCAGCATCATAGTGTAGGGCCTGAACAAGGTGTAGAGTCACAGAATTGTTTCGATAGGAGTGAAAGTCCTCACAAACATCATGGACTTAGTGCAGGACTGCACAACATCTTGAACATGGTAGAGGAACTCATTGACGTAAAAGGCATACGCGACATTCTGGATATGGTGTAGGATTAGGGATGGGAATGGATAACCCACCCTATGGGTACACATGGATACTAGACCCAAATACATGGGTTTTCTCCTATTTTCTTGTCCATCGGATCAGATAAGTGGGGTTCTTTAAATCTCCATCGGAGATGGGTCAGGGATAGATACCTGCCCATTTCCCCATATAAAAAAACTTGTGTTTGTTCACACACTAAGTCAACTTTCCCTTTCACTGTGCATCTCCTTTCACCCCTCTCTCTTTCTTTCTATATATATATCGATATATTACCGTGTTTCACAAATACGCAGATCAGTTCTCTTTTCTGTAGATTTGGTGCGTCTCTCTCTCTCTCTCTCTCTCTCTCTATATATATATATATATATCTCTGTAATTCTCTTTCACAGATATATATACTCTTCATTCTCTCAACTATTCCTTCTCTCTCTCTCTCTCTCTCTCTCTCTCTATGCTTTAATCGATCAATCGTAGCCTTAATTCTCTCTGTCTCTGTCTCTCTCTCTGTGAACTGTCGTGATACTGATCCATTACAGTTTAATTGATCTATTTTGTGCTTGGTTTGGTTTCTTTGACTCACAATCTAACTTTCTCTCTCTCTAACATTGATCAATTCTATTTTTTTTTTCAATTACTAAAAATTTATTTGATTGTCTCAAAATTATATATTTGATTATTTTAAAACAAATTTTTTAATTAATTAATTAATGTGTATTTGATTTCGTTGTTGAGACAAATAAAATTGAATATATATTCAGCTTTGGTTGTGAACCTTTAAAGAAAAAAAAAAGAGGGTCAAGTTAGGTTGGAGAAAATCCAAACCCATTAGGGGATGGGGAATGGGGAATGGGAAAAAATTATTATAGGGGGATGGGGATGGGGATGGGGAATTAATATCCGCCCCATTGCCCTCCATTGCCATAGGATGGCTTTAGGTCAACCTTGACAAGGAGCAGGGCAGCATCAAATCAGCTTGGATATGGTGTAGGACCATACAATCATCCGATGATCCCGGACTTCGCTTGAGTGCAAGGCCTCATGACAGCCTAGATAGGAAACAGGAGGACGTCAAGTCCTAGGGTGTTGACTAGGCAGAAGGCCAAGAGATTCTAATGACATGGCAATGACTACCTGAGGTAGCCAAAGGAGGTTGGTCTACATGTAAGACCATTGTTGTTGACAGATGAGGTGGCAAGTGGTTAAGGCCATCCCTAGAAACTAGCTAATGGATATGTCGGTTGAGTAACGTCCCCCTATTTCAGTGGAAGCACTAGTCATGGATGAGATTGTTTAAAGACATGTCACTTGGTAGTTAAGAAAATATCAGAAATTAAAGGGACATGTGCCCACATCTAGTCCCTACAAACATGCAGGACATGGTTGGGTAATTATTAAAATTGAGCTTCAAGTTAATACCAAATGAGACACAAGGCTACATCTGATGCATTTTCCTACGAAAGTGCAGAATACGGGTTGTTCGTTGCTAAAAGTAAGCCTCAAGTTAGTAGGTCATTGGACACTTGGCATAATCAGGATAGTCTACTTGCCATGGTAGTTGAGCAGAACATAAAGAACTGGGCAAAAATTGTGTTCTCATTTTGAAGGGAAACATAATGTTCAAATTAATTTTTTGTCAAAATGAAAAGAAAAAAAACATATTTGGCATACACATGTATTTTAAAAACTTGTCTTGAAAACAAGTCAAAGGGTGGCCAAAGGTGGTTGTCGACGGTTGGAGATGGCGGCTGGATGTGGTTGTCAATCGCTGAAGGTGGTAGTTGTTGGTGGTTTCCAATGGCCAATGGCGAGAGGTGGTTAATGGGCATGGGAAGTGGTGGCCTATAGTCGGAGATGGTGGCTGGAGGTGGTGGCCGACATGGTTTCCAAAAAGAGGTGGTAGCTGATGGTTGTTGCTGATAGTTGGGGATGGTGGCTGGCCAACAAATGTGCTGGCCTAAGGTGGTCTTCAGCAAGAGGTGGTGGCCAAAGGTTGTTGCCGCCGGTAGGAGGCTGTTGGCAGCTGCTGAAGGTGGTTTATTGATTGTGAGAGGTGGTAGCCGAAGGAGGTCACCAGCGACGTTGGCTGGAGCCAGATGTGGTCATAAGCAAAGTGGGTGGTGGGTGGTGGCCGAAAAGGGTGGGAGGAGGAAGAAATGAAAACTTTTTTTTCTAAACAAGTGAAATCAACTTTTTTGTTACAATAATTTAATAAATTTTGTAAACTGTATAGAAGTTTTGTAAATGAAAATAGTCACCAAACGAGTTTTTGTTTATAATTTTCAAAATTTTTGTAAATATAAATAGAAAAATGTAACCATTAAATGTTACCAAACAAACTATTAGTGACTTTGTAAACTTATGAAATCACTAAACTACAATCAAGAGTGATAGTTGAATATTTTAATTGAATAAATACTATTGAGGCTATAAAAATAGGTAATGATGGGTTAAATGAAACATAAATTTTTCTTCATATAAACTCTACACAAAGGCAAAAGATGTTTCCCATGATTTACCTGAATTAATAGCAGCATCAGTTTGTATAGCTCCTCGGATAGCTTGTCCATTTGGTGATGGTATCTCCCTGCCCAATCCACTAACTACCTGCACTAATTGAATATCAGTAAACAATAACCATGAATCTGAGTACTTGTTAATCTACTCTCATACTGAGGCAAGTACTGTGTCTGTGCCAAACAAGGAACGAGCAGTCCCAAATCTAGAGAAGAGTCAAGCTACAACTGAACTAGTTCTTTGGGAAAACGAAAAGGGAAAAGAAAATAAATACTCAATTTAATAACAAAATTACCCAAAAATCTAATATGAGATAGTTGATTAACAAAAGAAACCACCTCACCACTATTATTACCATAAAGTATCTAATGTTTGACAATAGTTGCAACTAGAATAAGGGCCTTGGTCTAAAAATGTAATTGTGCATCATAAATGTCATATATCATGATAACTTACCCCTGTTGTTAGAGTATTCTCATATCCATACGGATTTCCAATAGCAAAGCAGCTCTGACCCACATGCAAATCATGAGATGTACCAAGAATGGCTGGTTTTAGTTCATTCCCTTCAACATCAACCTACAACGAATTTGAATTTAGATGCTTGGCATTTCAAGATACCTAAATGTATATGGAAGTTCAATCATGCAGAAGGGGCAGAGAGGCATAACATTGAGAACTAGTCCAGTGCACGCTTCAGGCTAAGGACAACATGAAGCTTGAGAGAAAAATGTAACTTGAGAAAGTGAACATAGATTTAAAAATATGAACTAAAGAAATGACCCAACACTACATGAAATAGGTCATACAGTGGATGCTGTTGAGTTTAACACACTAGTGGACCCAGAAATACCTTTTTTGATAACACTCCAGTACACAAAACACTTGTACACAATCACACACCAATACACTTCACTTATCCACTCACATATACATTCAAGCACTCACACTTTGTGTCTTCCTCACACAAGACTTTGAGACACCTCACACTAGCTAGTGCTTGACTACTCACTTTGGACTCACTCTTCTTTCACTCAATTGTCCAATTGCTTAGTACATGCACTCATCTCATATTTATAATAGTTAAAGAACTTTCTAGAATACACTCATACCCCTACACTCTAGAACAATCTAGATTACTCTAATACATATTAGAGCTTTCTATTCTTCTCTAAAGTATTCTAGAACCTTCCGGAACTTTTTAGATTTCTCTAATTTTCTCCAAACTTCTTTAATGTTCCGGAACCTTCTAGCATATTCTAGAATCTTCCGGATTTCTCTAGGTCTTTCCAGAATCTTCTAGATCTTTCCGGAGTATTTCTAGATTCATGTGGAAACTTCTAGAATATTCTAGAGAGTGAGGAGAGTTAGTGATTACTCTCAACAGATGCAATATGGTATGCATAAGGTTTTGATAGAAGATGCATATACAAGGGTCTATGTCTCAAGAACAGTAAGCTGCCCACCCCCACTTGCAGTTTCTGAGTAACACCTTGCATGTATGTGAAGTTCCGTGATACAGCATCAGCAACCCACTCCATCATTTTCTATAGCCTAGAATCCATCTAAATTATGCATTACAACTGTTAATTTTGGATCCTAGCATCTTTTTGTTTCTAAAACATTACCATAGAACTTACAGGCCAATGCAATTCGGGGAAGGTGATACACAGACATGAACTGCAATAAACGGAGTGGAAAATGATTTAGCCCACACCTAATGGCGGAGCCAGGATTTTGACTAAGGAGGGGCAATACTAATTTGAGACAAAGGCTTAGTTTGGTTTAGATGATAAAAAAACCAATTATCAATATCTCAAAACTGTTCCAATCTTTGTTATTAGAATCGTATGATTCGATTCAATTCAGTGCGTAATTGATGCGAAGAAGTTGCATGAATCGCAAATAGCTGTGAATCATGGGAAAATCAATGACTCGTTGAACCGAATCAGTGAATCGTGAATCAATCAATTCACTTTCGATTCGTTGAAATCGATGATAGGCCTTCTTTTTTGGTTTTTTATTGTTGGAAAAGGATTCACACAACATTTTTAAAGTCTTTAGGATTATCATATGCCATCCTTTGAGTTTCTCCCCTCCCTATTTAGTCTCAAACTGTGTTACTAGAAAACGCTAATACCCTAGCGAATTACGTATTAGTAAGCACGCTCCGAAATATGGTACACTTCCGTTCTAAAATAATAAATTTAGTGATCGGAAGCGATTCCAAAAGTTTTTTCCAATATAATTCCTTAGGGCTCAGTTTGGTTAGATAGAGAATACAGGAAAGTAAAAGAAAGAAAAATAATAATTTTTTATGTGTTTGTTTAGATATAGTCCTAGAAAGTAATGGAAACTAAAGTTTTCTATACTACTCAAATTTGATTGTTAGTTATTATTATAAGTATGTGTAACCCTAATAGGTTTATGAGTGTGAATAATATACAGTTCTCTTCCTTTTCTTTCTTTTATGCAAATCTAACAGTTTCCCTCTTTGCTCATGCTTCTCTCCACAACTTCTCTTAAGTGGTGATTACATTTTTCCCATCATTTTCTCGCAAAGTTTTCCATCTATTTAAATGCATGCAAAAAATAAAATTTTCATTTCCCTTTCTTTCACTTCATTTTCCATCATTTTCACTTTCTATCATTCGTTTCTTTCTAAACAAACAGAGCCTAAATGCTACCTTAGGATAAAAAAATAAAATATGATGAACTAAATCTAAGGCGAGTTACGTTTTGACAAGACAAAAACATCAAAAATGAAGAAAAAAAATTAAAAATACATTTTATTGAATGCCTAATAGTTAAAAAAAAATTACTCTAGAAGTACCTTAAATTCTTAAATGTAATATATAGACAAGTCTATCTATATCGTACCACATTTTAGAACATGTGATGTACCATGTTCCTGTTCTCAAATACTCAAATCTTATAAGAAAAAAGAAAAGAAAAATAACCCTCTTTTTCTACAATATTTTAGGCTTACATGTTCTACTTTATCTAAGTGCTTGCATTTGTAAAATTTTTTTTTTGAAGGCATTGAGTTTTTTGAAAGAAATTTTTTTTGGAGATTTAGGTTTCTTAAACCCCCTTTGAGGTGAGTGTTTCTGTTACTTAGGCCTCGTTTAGCAACATCACCTTTTAGCTTAAAAGCCAAAAAGCCATTAAAAAAAATCAAAAAGCCAACAACCTATACCAAAAAGTCAAAGATTTCCTATTCTCTCTACTTTTTGTACATCTTTTCGTAAAAAACTAAAAAGTCATCCCAAACATACTAATTTTTTTTACATCATATTTTAGCCAAAAAGTTACTAAAAAAGTCTGTTCCCAAATGAGGCCTTAGTTGTAAAAAGTTAAAAACATTGTTGTTGAGTTATTGTTACTAAGAAATTGAGAGTTTGTCTTTATTTACTTTTTTTTTTAATCAAGAATAGTTGATAAGAAATAGTATTAAAAGGAAAAAGATAAAGTGGTGATCTTACATGGGAAACCGTGTTGACTTCTTACCTATGGTTGTTAGAATCGAACGATCCACGATTTGATTCATACAATTTGATACAAGTTTCAAACTAAGTGATTTGAATCGTATTGTTGAATCAGAAATTGAGAGAATCGTATGATTCAATTTGTGATTCATGACTATTCACTATGATTCAGTTCTACTTTTGTTTTTGTTTACAAAAATGCAGGAAACAACGTCATTTTTGCCAAATTATCAAGATATATAGAATAGATCAATTAGTCATAATGATATACATGATTTTATATGTATAAATGTATATGCAATTTAGTTGTATTGGCATTTGCTTTATTTTAAACACCACGTGTGTATTTTTTTATGTATATAACGATATAAAATTATATATCATATTAAATAAGATGAATCTTATGATTCACTACTCATAATTTTAACAAAACAATTCAAAATCTTAAGTCTCAAGCAATATGAGTTTGAAAACAAAAGTCAAGTTTATTACTGTTAAGAAAAATAACATAAATTTAAAATTTAAAAAAAAAAAAAATCACTTTGACCCCCACTTGAACTTTTTAAAATTTATGCCAGTATGTCACTAGTGTGTCCATAACATGCATGTAATGTCTCCCTAGCATATCCAAGCAAAAAAATAAAAAATAAAAAAAAAGAACTTGTGGGGCACTCCAATTCACATGCCCAACACATGTTGGACACGGATGCGTGGCCTTCGAAGAGGTGTCCGTGCTTCATAGATACCGTGCTTCATAGATTTGTGTATATATAATATGAGATATATATATTTAAGGAACTTTATGGCAAAAAAAATTTGAATGGATAATTGTAAAGTCTTGCTGAAAAGCATAAAAGAGAGGGGCTACTATGGGAATTTCGACAGGTATTCGGGGCCCAACAATTCACCCATGTCTTGTTCACAAATGTGCAATGTGAATTGAGTGAGGGTATAAACTCAGCAACAACGTGGAAAATTCACTTATCCAACGAAATGCCAGATGAAGACTGCATCACTAGACCTAGAGTTGCCACCTAATCTTTTTGGAGAAACTAAGAAACCTTGACTCCTACCAATATAGGCCACTGAACTGTCGTGACCAAAAAACTCGGTCTAGGAGTTTAGGTATGAGAGGGAAAGGTCATGAATTGAGCACCCTTAGTTCACCCGATCCAAAAATTGGCCTCCACTAATTCTTGATATGAGAATTATTGCCAAAATATATTCATGGTTTGATTATTAATGCTACTTTACTATGTGAAGCAAACAACAAAGTAAATCACATATTTTAGAAAGCTTCTACCCTTTTTTTGTAAAAATGAAGTGCTTTGAGAGCTTCAAAGAAAAAGACAAAACTCTTGTGAAAAGGATAGACATTTCCAACTTAAGCAAAATGACAAGCTAGATGCAAAGAAAATGAGAGAAGCTCACTTAGTACTCCTTCGCACCAATCTATAGCACAAAATAAAGAAACTATGCATGATCCTAGATGCACTAATCTACTAATGCAAAGAAAACCCATGAATATGTATCCTATAGGCCCGGTTTCCACTAGAATGTCATGTGAATCATCTCAAGCATAAAAAATCACTTTGACCCAGCGTCAACACAACAATATAGCAACAATATCTCTAAAATGCGATAAATCGGGCCTGGATGCACAAACTAAGCTACAAACATAATAGAAATGCAAGATATAAAGGAGGAAAGAAAAATAGTGATAGATGATGGCCTAGATCTCCCTTAAAGCATGGAAACAAGCGTGAATTTAGCCTAAGAGGCAAGATAAAGACTCGAATCCATGAAACAGTCAAGTTAAAGGTGGTAGATATACACTAAGAACATAATAGAAATGCTAGAAAATGCATGAAAAAAAGAAGAGAGGTAGAGATAAAAAAATAAAAAATAAAAAATAAAAAATAAAAATTTGATCCAAATCTACTCCCAAAGCATGAAAATGAGCGTAAATCTAATTCAAAAGGTAAGACAGAGGCTTAAACCCATGAGATAATTAATAAGGGAGTAAATTTAGCCATTATCAAAGGGAAAATATATGTTTGGATGCTAAGAAAGTGCAAGAAAAAGAAAATAGAACTCAAAGTAAAAGAGATCTGTCAAGGATCTCAACTATTCAGGCCCAAATACTACCAATAATCAACTAATAAACAAGATTTAATCAACTTCCAAAGCAAAATAAGTATGTTTGGATAGTAAGAAAAGAAAAGAAAGTGAGAGAAAATGCAAGTAGTGTTATACCTCTTTTCATAAGAGCAAAAGAAAACAAGACCAAAGCTTGAGAAGAAACTCCAATACTCTCTCAAGGCTTTCAATGGAATCTCAAGAAGCTTCAAAGATCAGCCTTCAATGGAGGAAGGGAGGGTTGAGAGTGTATTTGGAGAGAGAGAGATATGTTGTCTCTATTTCTCTACCCAAAGGGGTGTATAACTCAAAAATCACAAACATTTAAGGGGCATTTCCCTAAATAAGCCAAAATACTAAATCAATTCCCAAACTAAGCCTAGTTTTGAAAGAATTCCCAAAATAAGCTAACTCGTGGTTCACAATCACGATTTTAACATATATACGCCTATCTCGCGTGAAATTGGGGAAGTCTTAAAATCGTGGTTACAAAAAGCGCTTTTGATTAAGAAATCGCGGTTACAAAATGCGCTTTTAATTAATTTTTTTTTCTCTTCTGAACTCGCTGTTACAAATCACGATTTTATCCAAAAAATTTTTTGTTCTGAATTTGCTGTTCAAAACTACGCTTTTATGAAAAAAAAATTTTGTTCTGAACTCGCTGTTTATAACTACGATTTTATCAAAAAATTTTTTTGTTCTGAACTCGCTGTTCAAAACCAGATTTATATTCAGTTCATGGTGTCCACAATGTATTGTTGTCCGAGACTTATGTCTGTACTACCTATGTATTTTTGTGGGAGACTTATGTGTTTTTTCCTCAAGGTTTTATGAATTACATTATCACCTTCTAACCCAAAACAAAGACAACAGAAAAAAAAAAATTTATTTACATGAAAACGGCTTTAGTAAAGCCAAAACAAATTTCTGAATAACACATTCTAATCCAAAACAAAGACGAGAGAAAAAAATAAAAAATAAAAAATTTTACATGAAAACGGCTTTAGTAAAGCGAAAAGAAATTTATGAATTACATTATCACCTTCTAACCCAAAACAAAGACAACAGAAAAAAATATATATATATTTATATGAAAACGGCTTTAGTAAAGCCAAAACAAATTTCTGAATAACACATTCTAACCCAAAACAAAGACAAGAGAAAAAAATAAAAAATAAAAAACTTTATATGAAAACGGCTTTAGTAAAGCGAAAAGAAATTTATGAATTACATTATCACCTTCTAACCCAAAACAAAGACAAAAGAAAAAATATATATATTTAAATGAAAACGGCTTTATTAAAGCCCAACCAAATTGCTAAATAACACCTTCTAACCCAAAACAAAGAAAAAATAAAATAAAATAAAAATTTACATCAAAACGGCTTTACTAAATCTCAAAAAATTTATGAATTACATTATTACATTTTAACCCAAAACAAACACAAGAAAAAACAAAATAAATTTACTTTAGTCAAGCCCAAAAAAAATGCTGAATTACACATTCTAACCCAAAAATAAAGACAAGAGAAAAGAAAAGAAAAAAAAAAAATTAACATGAGAACGGTTTTAGTAAAACAATTTTAACCCAAAAAATTATTCTGAAATACATTATCACCAAAACAATGACAACAGAAACCGAAAACAAAAAAAAAAAAAAAATCAAAAAAAAAAAAATTTCTTCTTCAGAGTTCAGTTAAATTGAAACTAAAAAAAAAATTTGCTAAAAAAGCGTGGTTCAGAACCGCGCTTTCAGAAGAAAAAAAATTTAGGCTAAAAGCGTGGTTCATAACCACAAGTTCAGAAGAAAAATTTTTGGCCAAAAAGTGTGGTTCGAAACAACGAGTTCAGAAGAAATTTTTTTTTTCATAAAAGCGTGGTTTATAACAGCGAATTCAGAACAAATATTTTTTTGGATAAAATCGTGGTTTGTAACAGCGAGTTCAGAAGAAAAAAAAATTAATTAAAAGCGCGTTTTGTAACCACGATTTCTTAATCAAAAGCGCTTTTTGTAACCACGATTTTAAGACTTCCCCAATTTCACGCGAGACAGGCGTATGTATGTTGAAATCGTGATTGTGAACCACGAGTTAGCTTATTTTGGGAATTCTTTCAAAACTAGGCTTAGTTTGGGAATTGATTTAGTATTTTGGCTTATTTAGGGAAATGCCCCAACATTTAAAAATATCGACATAATAGAAGTGTCAAACAAGATAAGCATAGAGAAAGAGAAGGAAAAGGAGGAGGAGATAGAGATTGAGGAGATAATGAAGAAGAATAACGACAACAGTTAGTCTGGTTGAAGAGAAAGCTCTATCCAACCAGCATCTTTGTATAATTAGGGCTCAAAAAAGTGTTCGGTCGCAAGGTATGTTTAGGGGTTTAATCCCTTGTAGCCACATGTAAACAAAAAGTCAATGAGATTATGTGAAACCAAAGGTTGTAATTGTAATAAACAAACATTTTAAAAGAAGCACATAAGTCGTGCGCCTTAAGCCTAAGCGTAAAGCACGCGCTTCCTCCTTTATGGGGCATGTTTTACATTGCCTAGCCTGAGATGTTCCGAAGCGCACTGACTGCGCCTTGATGAGCCTTGAAGCATAAGCACAACCTTTTGCATCTTATGCTTTGAACTGCTCCAAAGACTTTGCATCCCTAGTATAATATTAAAGTAGCATATTGTTTACCGTGTTTTACACACAAAGGCTTTTAGGAGCTTGTTAAGTTTCCCTTTCACATTAACCACTTTCCATTGGAGAAAATCAGTACTGACATGCAAAAACTATACATTATGACCTAACTATTGCCTTTGGAAATCAAGATGAGAGCAAAGAATGAAGTATGCTATACTATACCTAGGTGAAATTAGAACCAAAAGTGAAATTTAGGGGGAGTTCCAATAAAAAACCTTCAGAACAGCAAGATCATATGCTGGATCAAAACCAACAATCTTAGCTTCCCTTGAAAAGCTATTGCCTTTTGCATCAGCTAGAAGCACCTGTAAAAGAAACACCAGCAAGACATTGCCAATGTACCAATAAAAAAATAAAAAATGACAACATGCATCACAGTTCATTGACCTGAAAAGAAAAAAAATAAAAAAGGAAACGAGAAATTTCAAAAATAATAAATTATGAACAAAACCTTACAGCGTTGTAGTCCACTTCTATCTGTTGCCAACTTCATAATAACATGATAATTAGTTACCTGGCACATATAGAAAGTGATTTGTTTAAAGATATTGAAGTGACACCCTTATATTAAAAAGCAAAAAATCTGACTAGAATGAAGCAAAATCACAGAATCTCTACTATACACATTACTCAACCTACTAGAACAAACATAAAAATTCTTAAAAGATAGAGAGTATGGAGTTTTTTATAACAGCATAAATGACAATAGCTATTTTTTTCATACTTGCAACAACACTGTCAGATGGAGTTTTGGAAGACATTATTTTCTATAAAAAGAATATAAAACGTGAAATGAGTATGAAAGAGGTTCAAGAATCCATTTTCTTTCTATAAGGGCTAAAATCACTTATTTTGGCTTTTTTACTCCATATTGTAGGGTGGATCTCGAAAGATATGAAAGATCTCCCTCCCAACCGTGCATATGACTTTCATCGAATACGGCTTTCCACAGCATTCTATACGCAATACGAACTTAATCTAAATAATATTATTCATTGAACCTTCAATGGTATTAGAAGAATTACAACATTTATCTAATAATATTGAAAATACAATTTTAGAATTTCCTTGTCTTAGCATGAAGCAATCATTATTTTGATTTTCTCATTTCCGTAATTTGTCAAAATCATAAAATCTAGATATAATAATTAATGGGGGAATTACTTGACAATGGGGCATAGAAAAAAAAAAATACAAAAACATGAGGGATGCAAGTGAATCTGTGGTGGGGTGCAAGTGAAAAGCTGTGGGAGTGCAAGTCTCACTTGCACCCCTCCATGTTTGTGTATTTTTTGTTTTTCACTGTCCAACTGTTAAGTAATTCCCCCATAATTAATTATCAGTCATGTGAACCCCCAAAATATGTAGGATGCATACAAAAACAAGAACATTAGTTGGAAAGATGGCCACAAAAACGAAGAACAAAAAGAACAAGAAGAACAAAAAGAACAGGAAATTACTTCGAGAAAATTCCAGTGGTTATAATAAAATTCCAAGGAACAGTCGCGCATGAACAAACTTAAAATTTCTCACATTACTGCTTTGTGGCACAACTAATACTATCACATAAAATGCTGTAAAAATAAAAATGGAGAATCAAAGAATTATGCATGTTTTGGGAGACGCAAACATGAACGTGGAAAGCTTAAGAGATATCATCGTAACGAATATCATACAGAAATGGCATTGTAGAAGACAGAAGACAAAAGGAGTGCAGACAGAAGCAGCCTTTGCTCTGTATTTATAATGCATGACGCATTTGAAAATTTAGAAAAAGGGAATACTTACAATGTGTCCAAATTTATCCCAAATGAAGCCGGAACCTGTCCCTTCCACTTTCACATTTTCGTCTTCAATTAGCATGCTATCATCTGAGTTCTTGGAGCTTTTCACTAATTCAAGGTCCTTGATGAAGACGACTGATGGTGAAGTGTCCTATAACCATAGCCAAAAGCTCTGTCAGCATGAAATTACAAGGATCCAGGTAACCAATGACATATAAGATTAAGAAACATCCCCAGTCCCCCAAAGATAAAATAAAATAATGTGTCTCATCGAAACCGGAAACTTAGACTTTTGATAGAAAAGAGATGGTGGGAAAGAGAAAAAAATAAATAAAGCAATATTACTATTGTCATTGCCTGCTGTAGCGGATCCTTAGCAGAAGAAGTTCATCTCATCCAAATATTGTAATGATAAAAGTGAAAGTTCTTAAAATTTTAATCTACAAGTATTCTTTGATAATTTCCATAGACACACATGCATGAGACCTGTAAGAGTTGTTCATGAAAAATAATTCAAGGAAAAATGACTTCTGCTGGCCCTTAAATAAGCTCACAAGCCATTACTTCATGTTATTCTGAAAAATAAAATGACCTTATCAAAAGAAAATTCTGGACAAGAAACTGTCAACAACCCTATTTTGCTTTATGGGAAATAGCCAAGAATCTTAACAAATTGTTTAGTGTTCAAGAAACTCACATCCTGGAAACAAAACCAGAAAAGTTTAGATAACTGCTGTTCTTGCAGCAGAACAATATATATTCTGAGTGATTTTTTCTTTGAATTCCATTAAAATCACTTCCTCTTTTTATTTTTCAGATGCAATTATTTTAAAAATGGCTCAAGCCATTTATGACAGCTTCGCTAAGTTCATTTTATGAAAATATTCAATATCTATGATCAACAATTTAACAATATTATTGAGTATCTATGAAATACAAATATAGATATGATACGGATACTAATACTGAAACGGTGATATGACAAAACCTAAAATATAGAATACGGGTTCGGCCAAGATATGTTCGTTAAAAATAAAAAATAAAAAAAACAAAAAAATAAAAAAACTTTTCTTTTATTCTTTTTATTATTGTATCACACATAAGCTCAAAGAATGGTGACAAGCTATTATTAGGAATTAGGTATTAGTTTAAGAGCCAGTAGCCAGTTATTTTACATTTACTTCAGTAGCTCCTATAAAGATTCCATTTTAATATCAAGTGTAAACTAAACCCTAAACCTTAATGCATCTACCCCGCTAAACCTGGGGTTTTTGATTGCCCTTGTGCTTTTTCCTATCACAATTAAATGCAATGTATGCAAAAGTGTTGTAAGCAAGTTTATTTACTTGTTTAATTGTTGAAATCTGATTTGTATCATTAAATTTTTTTTATGTATCCTTAGTTTCTAAAAAGTATGGATATGAATATGTGACACATTTATGACACACTAAAGAAAATTAGTTTCAAGTATCAAATATGTTTAGGAAGTATAAAAAACGCATCCGCAAGTATTCTAGGAGTATCGGTATCCAATATGGATCCAACTTCCTTCTTGAAGTTCGTGCTTCGTAATTGACCATTTGCCTCACCTAGGAGATTTTTTTTTTTTTTTTCAATTCCCATCAAATAAAAAAAATTGGAATCAACTACAAATAAATGCTAAAATAAAATTTTAGGTAGAGTTATTCCTTTTATTAAGCTGCTTCTAGAATCACCCTAATCTACATAGGGCTGTTTGGTGTAGTTTATTTGAGTTGTTTATTGACTTTTTTTAATTCTAGGATTCTGTGCCAAACTATTTGGTGCATCTTCTGCTTACAACTTATTAGGCAAAAATAGCTTAAATAAGCAGAAAAGTTGATTATGTGCAAGTTGGGGGAGTGGTAGTTTTGACTTCTACTCTATGATTATCAGCTTTTAGATTACAATAAACTGCACCAAATAGGTCCATAGAAATGCTATCAAATTATCCCCTATCTAAACTGTCCCAATGTTTTTGGCAAACCAATAAACCCAACTACATCCAAATAGAGTTCCCCCCAGCATATGAAATTTCCTTGTAGTTATTCCCAAATCATCCCAACTTGTCACAATCTTTTTGACAACCCGATAAAACCAACTATATAAAATAGAGTTCCCCGTATATGAAGAATAATTTCCAAATGGTTTTTGAAGTTCTAGAATTGCTCCAAACATTCATAATATCACACATCTTCTTTCATTATTATTGACAAGCATTGCTTCTCTCTCACACAAATTCATCACAGGCAAAACATGTTGTCCAAGTTAATTATGTACATTGGTTTTGCAAATGACTTTTTGCTTTACAGTTATTTGAACGCCAGATAATTCTCAAAATGTAGGATAGTTACTCACTGTGTTTCATAATGATGAACAAAAAAAAGTTAAAATCCAACAGGCTCATTGGCCAAAACCCTGCACCCAAAGTCCCACTTATCAGTAATTGTTTGGGGTCTTTGTTAGGTGTTTTGATTTATTGTTTTGCTTGTGCTATTTGTTGGACCTTATCTCAAAATTGAATGTCCAGTTTGATCTAATTTTTGTAATCTATCTCCAACCCATTGACAACAAAAAAAAACAAATTAATTTGCAAGGACATGCAAGAAAAAACAGGCTGTTGTTGTCTCATTATTGACATCAAAACATGAGAAACAATCTCTATGTTGCCCAAATTCGGAATCAATTTGTGAAATTATCGATACGCTGAGTGACTCATGGATTCTATAAATAAAATCTACTCAAAAGGTCAAATGGGTCGATCAATTTGCACAAGAAAAATACACCTGTGTTGTGTCAACTTATAAATGTCATATATATATATATATAGAGAGAGAGAGAGAGAGAGAGAGAGACCTGGAATAGGTGGACGACGCGATCTTCATCTGGGTCGAGCTCATCGGCATTGGCGGAGTGAGAAGAAGAATGATTTGAGGTTTGATATAATTGGAGATAAGAAGCCAACAAAGAGGTAGTGAAGACTAGTGTGTTACGTCTCGTGAGAAGCCTCTTATTACTATTACCATTATTTGAAGAAGAAGAAGAAGAGATGTGAAGTGGGATTGGGGTGGAGATACATTGCACACAACTCAAAACCACTACCATAACGACTCTCTGTTATTGTCTCAAAATTTCTGATTAAAAAAACAATGTAAATATCTGATGATAAAATTGTTTTTATATTTTCATTTATCGTTCTTGTGGATAGACCTGGTCCACCCATTGCGCGGCTCGGCTTTCGGCTCTAGAAATATATATATATTTTTTTTTTGGGGGATAAAAATTATATTTATAAATAAAATATTAAAATTTATATATATAATTAAAAAAAAATTAATAAGAATGATGTGGTATTGTTTTTATTCTAAATAAATTTTTAATAATGTTTTGTTTTGAATAAAGAAATTGTTACCAGATTAAAAGAAAAGTTATATAAAACGGTTATTAAACCAATAATATGACGGAATGTTAGGTAATTAAGAAATAATATATAGATAAGATGAGTATTGTTGAGATGATGATAACAGGTGGATGTGTGACAAAATTAAAAAAGACAGAGTTATGAATAAATATATTCGTGAATAAATACGAGTAGTGCTGATAGAAGATAAGTTGAGAGAAAATAGATTAAGATGGTTTGACTATATATAATAGAGACCACCAAAGGCAGTAGCGAAGAGATGCGATACATTGATGATAGATAGAAATGTCAGTTGAAGGGAAAGATTTAGATTGACGTGAGCTAGTGTCATAAATAGAGATATGAATATTATTAATTTAACTAATCAAATGGTCGTTGATAGAGTCGAGTGGAGAAGAAAGATTCATGTATCTGACCCCATTTTATGGGAGTTAAGACTTGGTTTAGTTTTGTTTTGTTTTGAAGTGAAAAGTCATAATAAACTATATTATTATGTATGAAAATTATGTATAAATTTTTTGTTTGTACTGTATCACTCAAAAAAATTACAAAAATAGTGGGAACTTAAAAAAATAATAATAAATGAAAATATTTGAGACTTTCCAAATATTTTGATAATTTGATACAATAATGTGATAGAATAATTGTTAACTTTTGATTTATTATATAAAATATAGCTTTCTTGTCATATCAATGTGGATGAATTTAAAGATTTAAAATTATGAATCTCTATTTTTTTTCCTGTATATATAAACACAGAATTTATGCACAAATATACTAAGGCTGTATTTGTTTGGATGAACTAGTTAAAGGGAGATTGGGATGCAACAGACAATTAGTCCTTGGTTGGAATATTTGGCTGAAAATGATGTGTATCTTATATTTATTTTGTTATAGGGTTTAAATGTATGAAAATGATTATTTTAGTCAATCTCGTGTGAAAATGAGAAATTTTGAAAAAATGATAGGAAAATTCTATTTGTATACCGTACAAATTCTCACTATATACTACAAATGGTGTTCAGAATGTTCGGATTTGAAGTGATGAACAAAAATAAATTATTCAAATATACATTATGTTCAATTATTTATATCCAAACAATTACTTTACGTTTATACATCTATATCTGAACATTTGATTTTTGTTTGAAAATTTATATTCAAACACCATTTGTGGTGACATTCAAAAAAAAAAAAAATTATTTATGGTGTATACCGAGAGTTTGTATGGTGAGCAAAGAGAGTTACCCAAAATGATAATTTCGAAAAAAACCATTTTATCATTTTGAATTGTTTACCATGCCAATACTAAATTTAAAGCATACTTTATTTTATTTTATTAAGATCACTTTTGATCTTATTTAAACACGACATTATAAGTATATTTCTATTTATAATTTTACTAATATAAAAAAAGATACATATATATATATATATATATATATATATATATATATATATGACAATTATATATTACGAGATTAATTTATATATGTTTAAAAAAAATTTAAAATGAAGAAAATATAGGTTGCATATTTTTTTTATTTTTTTTGAACATCAGAACTATATTTTCTTTTATTATTTTATTAATACTAAAAAAAAAGACTATTATATAGTATGTGATTAATTTATACATGTTTTAAAAAATGCAACATGTTTAAAAAACATAAAAGAAAGAAATGATATATCCTTGAGGATCAATTTTATCATTTAACTAACTAATCTGGTAGTTGGCTCAATCCGTCCATTTTTATTTCACATAAAATCCAAGATGTTACAATAACACAATCAAATTGGCTCGGTTTGGTCGACCGCCGGTTCAACTAACAAATTTATCAATTCTCTTTAAACATAACAATTTTTTGTGAACTGTTCAAGAGGATCAACCGGATTAGAACCTAGATTAGTCAACGGTTCAATCGGTTGAATTGATTGGTCTACTCCAATCTTTAAAACCTCGGCGACACTACATCTACCCACAAGCAAAATAATTTAAATTTTACAAAATTGAATATATCACTAAATCTACCCACAAGCAAAATAATTTAAATTTTACAAAATTGAATATATGATCATTATGACGTTATTTATTGGGCTCAAAGGTCTATCCTTGGGGTCTTCGGTTGACTTGGGAATTGATGCAAGTAAATTGAGATGACTGATTGTATAGAAAATTAACTGACGGATGTCTAAACTAAAAATGAATAAGAAAACTTGCAAAATTAATTTGTTTATTGCAGAATACATGGTACTTTTTTGATCAATTGGGAGTTAAGAGAAATTAAAAAGTTAATGATCTTGCATGGTGGAACATGGAAGACAATGTGGAAGAAGTTAAAGAACATGTGAAGAATATGATAGACAAAGTAATTTAGTGAAAGACATGGAGGGATATGTGACATTGTGAAAATGAAGGTAGAAGAGTGGGTAGTTTTAGGTGGTTACTGGATAGTTATTGCTGGAACTGTTTTTTTCCCTATAAATAGCCATTGATGGCTACATTTACAAGACCCAAAACCATATTCAAAAACTAGTTTATTTTGCTTTACATTTTTCCTTTCAGTTCTTTACTTTTCTGTACTGCATTTCAATTTCTTAAGAGTAGTTCTAAGCTAGGCTGTTCATTGCAGTAATCCCCTTCGAAGCTGTGGAAGTGAGAAGGTACTATTGTAAACATTTGTTTACTTAATGAAATTTAAATTCTGACACTATTCTCTTCCTTCTTCTTTACTTTTTGATTAATTCTTCTCAGTTTTCTCTTAAAACAAGCCACCAGTAAAAATCTTTTTCGTTGAGGCTAAAAGAACTTCGAAGCAATCGTATGAATAATTGGTTGGCATTTACTATTTTTGTAAGGACTTATTGATCCTTATTGGCATGCTCAAATTACATTTCTAACCTTTGAAAATCAAAAAAAGCCAACATATATTTTTGGTACGCCTAGTGGGATTACCATTATAATGGCTAGACTAAGACGACAAGGAGAAAATGAGTGCCTTGAAGAAGTCATAGAAGAAGAAATGACAAACGAATTAGATTTTGCTATTCAAATTCAAATTTATCAATATGAAATATATTGGGGTGAAAGAAAAATTTTGGATCTTTAAGAAGAGATCTATTTTCTTGATGAAGAAAATTTTCAAGTTGTTACTTCATTGTCATATTATTTGGTAGAAGAAAAAAATACACCATTTAATTGGAGTAATTCATCAACTTGATATAGAAATTTACCAATGGAGACACGAGTTATCGACCCTTTTTGTCAAGTCTTTAATGACTGAATTTTGTGGGGTTTTACAAAATGTTTTCAAGTTTTTTATGACTGAAATTGGTGAAAAAATAACTTCATCAATGGCTCGAGAAGTTCAAGAGCCCGTTTTTAAAGAGCCAAATTATGAAGTTAACATAACGAAAGAGCATGTTCTTGAATCAAACATGGCTAAGAATGATGTTCCATATATGGCTCGGGGGGGGGGGGTTCGGGGGGGGTTCATACATCCATTTGTAGAGAGCCAAGTCATGAAAAGCTTGTTAGGGAGTATGTTTTTAAACCAAGTTTGGTTAAAAATGATAAGCAACCCACAGTTAGTGGATTTAAAATTTTTGATGATGTGGAAAATCCCAAATTATTTGAATTTCCAAAACCACCATATACCACTATCTTTGTTGTTCAAAATTCATTTTGGATTTGTGGTTCACATCAAAATTTAATTTTGATGAAATGGTTAACAAAATATTGAAATCTAGAAAATATATTTGTTGAGTTTTTTCCTACATTTTCGCAATGGGAAGCATGAAAATGACCAATAATAACGGTCCTGACTATTTTTATGGTTATATGTGAAATAGCGGCCAATACAAATTTACAATTGGTCAAGAAAGAAGAAGCTCTTTAGAAAACACATTGAGTCCACATGTTTGTTGTTTTCTACCATGTAATGTGAAAACCATCATTCTTGACCAAAAGCTGGTTTTATATTCCAGATTGTCTTCGAAGTGGATATGTAAACAATTATCATTTTGGCTTTGTTGTTGGTTAACATGTGTGCTTCGAAAGCCCTTTTTTCCATAATTTTTTAGCTTTGAAACACTCCATCTTGCATCAACAACAGCTTTGAAGAAAAAATAATGGTGGTTGTGAACCTTCAAAGCTTTGTCGAGTATTTCCAAGGATGTAATTAGCCTTTTGTTGGCACCTTCAACCTTCGAAGGATGATTTTGTCCCTCTAGAAATACCTTTAGAGGATGGTTTTTCTCCTTTGAATTACAACCCTTCAAGAATTCGAGACGTCTCATAATTTTTTTTCTCATGATATTGGCTACTGTCAAGTGAGACATTTGCTACTTTTACATGGTAGTAAACTTCGAATTGTTTTGGAGTGGTTTCTAAGCATTCTAAATTAGCTTTGAAGCAGCTCCAAGGAGGCTTTAATATGTCCTTCTTTATAATGAACCTTCTACAAAGCTTCGAAGGGTGCCAAAGAAGCTTTGAAGGATTCAAAAAAAGCTTCGAAGAGGTTTTTTATAATGAACATAGTAGTGTTGCCATGTCATTGAAGTATTAGCCATGATTTTTAGACACCATACATAGTGAGTGCATGCATTTATTGACTACAAATTGGTGTCTCATGTTAAAATTTTGAACTTGCCACCTAAGAAAGTATAAAGCTTCTACTTATGACTCATACCAAACATGATTGGTATGTATTGTGTCCAAATCAAATTGGTACTTCTCGATTTGAATTGATCACTTTTTGCATTCATATTGAATTCGAAGTATATGCCTTTAATGTAGTGTCCCTTCGAAGCACTTCGTTGGTGCTGTTATGGTATTCAAAGCACTTTATTACTCATATCGGTTCTGTGCTTAGTTCGGTTCTTCAAAAATTCAAATAAACATTATTTTTAAAGAGCCACGGGGGGTAATATTGACACCATAAATAGTAATATTATTATTATTACTATTATCATTATTGCAAGACACGTGACACTTTGTTGATCAATCAGGAGTTAAGAGAAGTTACAAAGTTAGTAATCTTGTATGGTGGAACATGGAAGACAGAGTGGAAGAAGTTAAAGCACATCTGAAGAATATGATGGACAAAGTGACTTAGTGGAAGACATGGAGGGATATGTGGCATTGTGGGAAGGAAGGTGGAAGAATGGGTAGTTTTAGGTGCTTATTGGGTAGTTATTGCTGGAAGTTTTTTCCTATAAATAACCATTGATGACTACATTTACAAGACCTAGAACCAGATTCAAAAATTAGTTTATTTTACTTTACATTTTTCCTTTCAGTTCTTTACTTTCTACTTCTTTACTTTTTTGCACTACATTTCAATTTCTTAGGAGTAGTTCTAAGCTAGTCTGTTCATTGCTATAATCCCCTTCAATGCTGTGGAAGTGAGAAGGTACTATTGTAAACATTTGTTTACTTAATAAAATTTAAATTCTGACACTGTTCTCTCCATCCTTTTTTACTTTTTGATTAATTCTTCTGAGTTTTCTCCTAAAACAAGCCACTAATAAAGGTCCTCTTCGTTGAGGCTAAAATAACTTTGAAGCAATCGTTTGAATAATTGGTTGGCATTTACTATTTTTGTAAGAACTTATTGATCCTTGCTGACACGCTCAAATTACATTTCTAACCTTCGAAAGCTAGAAAAACCAACATAATTATAATCATTTAAATTTAATTAGGGCTTAATTACATAAATTAAAAGTTTAAATTTTCCTTGGTCATTATAACCTCTAAGTTATTGCTTGCCTATAGATACACCCTTTAATCACCTGTTTTGGAAAGAGATTTTGGAGATAACAAACTGCTGCCCAAACATATTCAATAATCCTAATTTTGAAATTTCTCAATACTCTAGAAATCTTGAGTGTTTAGAGCCCATAAAGTGAGTTTTGAGAGTCCAACATATGAACATTAGAAGCCTTTAAGGTGAGGTCAAAGTAAGTTTCCAATGACCAACAATGGAAAAGAGGAAGAGAAAATCAAATGAGAGGGAGAGGAATAGAGCATAATTTTTGTTGTTGTGAAGCAAAAAGTCTAATGTTGTGTTTGGTTGAGGGATTTGAAGAGGGATTTGGAAAGAGAAATGGAAAAGGTAGGTGAAATGTGAAAAAAATATGCCTACATTTCACATAGTTTCACACACCTTTTCCCTTTCTCTTTCCAAATCCTTCCCCAAATCCCCCAACCAAACACAACGTAAGTAAAGCTTATAAGGTTCCCTCTCCAATGATCCGAGGGCTCTAATTCACTCATAAACAAGACAAATGGATATGATACACACAAATTCATATTTCTATATAATTTCAGTTATACACAAGTTATATAAATATAATGATGTTTAACACAATTAGAGAGAGAGCTTACCAAAAGAAGAAAGAAAATACTAGTTTGGCTTTTTAATTTTTTATGAAAATATTTGTCAAAAAAATAGAGAGGTGATGTGACAATTTGTAACAAATAAATAAATAAGTTGCTTATTTAGATTATTGCCAAATCACCAGGAAGTAAAAGAGGAAAGCACATGGCTGGGAGAGATGTGTGAAAAATCGGCCCATCACTCGTGATGGGAGTGGCGAAATTATTAAAATGTTTCTCAATTTAAATTTTTTAAAAATTCTCCAAATTTTTACTAAAATAAAGCAGTTCAAAGGGGTTGTGTACTTAATTTAATGAATTTTCATATAATAATTTAATATTCAAATACAATAAAGGGATTTTTATTGATAAATCCATTCTAGAGTTGTTATAACCCATTAGGTCCACTAAAGAATATTATAACCTAATTAGTCCCATAAAATTTTCTGGATATTCCATAAGGTCCATTTTTCTAATTTAATATAATTTCTTGGACTATTTTGCCCCTGTATATATATATGTACAGTGTTAATACGTAATAGGTGCCTGTTTCTTCGCTCATGCAGTTTGGCAGTTTCTATTTTACGCTTTTCATCATCAATCCAATTCCGAGAGATACGTTTATGTTTTGCATGCTCGTTACAAGGATTGGTTGAGCTAGGGTTTAATCCTTGCTGTTGTAGTCTGGTTCTGTGGTTTGCGAGTGAAGACGACGAAGATGAGGGTGTTCGGTTGTTACATTTTCCGGATTATAACTAGTTCAAATCAGTTTTTTTCAACTTTCTGTACGATTGTAGGATTGCATGATCAAGGTTAGTATCAATTTGGTTATGAATACATGTTCAGTTTATGGTTTCATTCGTATAATGGATCAGATGCTCTGTTTTTGGATTTATATGGATTGAATGCTCTGTTTTTTCAATTATATGCATTTTACGTGGTTATGTGGAGGGGAGTTCATTCGTATTATGTGAAGATTGTGTAGTTCTCATTTGACTTCGATGCATGCGTAATGAGGCTCTGTGTGGATGATTTGATTATCAGTATATATATCAATGTCAATCTGCACATTTTGTGAATGGGGAATATGTGAAGAATGTGGATGTTCTCATTTTAAATTGATATTTGCTTAATGAGGCTCTGTGTGTGTGATATAATTCAGAGTGTATGTGTCAATGTAAATGTTAACATCTTGTTTATATTATGTGAAGATTGTTGATGTTGTCATTGGACTTTGATGTTTGCTTAATGTTGACATCTTGTTAATAGTAATGTGAATGTTCACATCTTCATATTGTGAATTATGGATTTAGCAGTTGAAATGTACACGTAGTCATCTATTTTTTGCACAATGTGAATTTTCATATACACTGATGTGAATGTTTACATCATCATACACTGATGTGAATGTTCACATCATTATATTATGTGAAGATTGTTGATGTTGTCATTGGACTTTGATGTTTGCTTAATGTTGACATCTTGTTAATAGTAATGTGAATGTTCACATCTTCATATTGTGAATTATGGATTTAGCAGTTGAAATGTACACGTAGTCATCTATTTTTTGCACAATGTGAATTTTCATATACACTGATGTGAATGTTTACATCATCATACACTGATGTGAATGTTCACATCATTATACACTGATGTGAATGTTTACATCATCATACACTGATGTGAATGTTCACATCATTATATTATGTGAAGATTGTTGATGTTGTCATTGGACTTTGATGTTTGCTTAATGTTGACATCTTGTTAATAGTAATGTGAATGTTCACATCTTCATATTGTGAATTATGGATTTAGCAGTTGAAATGTACACGTAGTCATCTATTTTTTGCACAATGTGAATTTTCATATACACTGATGTGAATGTTTACATCATCATACACTGATGTGAATGTTCACATCATTATACACTGATGTGAATGTTTACATCATCATACACTGATGTGAATGTTCACATCATTATATTATGTGAAGATTGTTGATGTTGTCATTGGACTTTGATGTTTGCTTAATGTTGACATCTTGTTAATAGTAATGTGAATGTTCACATCTTCATATTGTGAATTATGGATTTAGCAGTTGAAATGTACACGTAGTCATCTATTTTTTGCACAATGTGAATTTTCATATACACTGATGTGAATGTTTACATCATCATACACTGATGTGAATGTTCACATCATTATACACTGATGTGAATGTTTACATCATCATACACTGATGTGAATGTTCACATCATTATATTATGTGAAGATTGTTGATGTTGTCATTGGACTTTGATGTTTGCTTAATGTTGACATCTTGTTAATAGTAATGTGAATGTTCACATCTTCATATTGTGAATTATGGATTTAGCAGTTGAAATGTACACGTAGTCATCTATTTTTTGCACAATGTGAATTTTCATATACACTGATGTGAATGTTTTTCTTTTATTTTTATAGGGACAAATTGGTGTTATGAAAATAGTGATTTCTTTTCTCTCCCAATCTCTCCACTTTTGAAAAGATTAAAAATGAGGCTTATAAGAGAAATGAGTTTCTCTCCATTTCTCTTCATTTCTTCCCATTTCTCTCTACTTAGATTATCCAAACAAATAAGAGAAATATATATCACTCAATTTCTTTTCTTTGCTCTCCAAATCACTCAATCCAAACATAGCTTTACAGCCCGAGTTCTTTAACTATTTCAGCTTCTCAATTTGGCATTTTTATTTTTATTTTTTTATTACCCCGTTTCCCACCTTTGTCTCCTTTGTTTTGTATTAGCAATTGTTTTGCATTACCTTCCACTCTCACAATAATTTGTTTCCACCCTGGAGAACCCATCTAGCTTGATTAAGTATTCAAATGTCCCATGTACTGTACTATCTGGTGCGTTTAAATTGAAACTGCTTTCCCCTCAATAAGGAGAGTATATGAATGCTTTTCTAAATTTTTCAATATTTATCCTCTCATAACAACATCCAATTCTTGCATTATTATGTATGCTGGAAAGGACTATTATCTGAGTGCCCTTGAGTTGTTGTTCGTGCTGGTGCAGACAACGTTCACAGCATTTATAACAAGGCAAAGAAATGGACTGGTTCATATTGGGTATGAGAAAATTCTTTTCATCACATACATTTTTATCTATAGATCCCCCCTTACATGTAAATTGACCATTGATTTAATTTCCCATGCATTTTTGAATTAGTAAAGTTATTTACTTCGATTATCATTAAATTTTATTGGTTTTTTATGTTGAAACTTGAAATTGCAAAAAATGCATCCTCTGTTAGTTTTCCTGTCCAACTTCTATATGTCTTGGCATGTCTATAGAGACCTATAATTTAATTCTTCCACCTGATTTCATGGGATCTATTTCATTATGCAGGATGAGTGTGCTAGCTTGCCAGCTATTGTTCCGCAGGGACCCATTGCAATTTTTGGTTTGGTAGTTCAATGATTGTGATATGATGCAGGGATCTCCTGTTGCTATTTAACATTACATTCTATGGACAAGAGTAATAGGTTTATGAGTAGCTGAAGTTAAAATTTGTTGAAATATTTCAGGGTGGCGGAACAGCTGCTCATTTGATGCTTGATTTATGGCCGTCATTGGTGCTTGAAGGTTGGGAGATTGATGAAATTGTAAGAAAAATTTATTTATTTTAATTTTTGTATTTTTAACTATAGTTTGATTAGGAGCCTTTGCTTTCCAAATAATATTACGATTTAGTTTCCTATTGTGGTTGAGCCTTATTAGAAGTCTTTACTTTCCAAATACCATTAGGATTTAGTTTTCTAGTGCAATTAGGGTTAGTGGTCTATAAATATTAGGTTTTATCATGGTAATATTCAGCTATGGATTAAAGAGATATTGAGTAGGCTATGGTTGTTTGTGTTACGGCTTTGGCCCTCTTCTTCTCTTTTCTTGTCTTTCCCATAGCATTCTACGTCAATTTGGTATTAGAGCTAAATTTTGATCCGCAGTTTCTGCTCAATTAGGTGTGTACCCAATCTTTCTCTTTCCAAACACACATTAATGTGTACTATTTGGGCGTTGTTTTTTATTTATTTATTTATTTTTTAATAGAAAGTACTACTATATACTAGAATA